GATGGGGGATGGGGGTAGCGAAGTGATAGCCTTTTTGGGAACTCACGTTCAGAGAATCTCACCAGTTCACCTATGCCGTCGCCATCTTGCCCCGTCTCCGGCTATTATTATTAACTCAGTTTAACTTGCATGAGTTTCTTCTTTTCTTCTAGAGGAGGGGGTAGGTGGGGAAGGCCGCTCGCGGTGAACGTTTCGAGGCGGCGGAGCTCCACGGTGGCTTGAGATCGAGGGTGGGGGGCGCGACGGGTCGGCCCGGCGGGGCCCGCGCGAGGAGAGGGCTCCGGGCCGGAAAGGGGCGCGCGTGGCGCCGGGCTGCAGGCGTCCCGCCGGCGCGGGCTGGAGGCTGCAGCTCGTCGGCCCCGATCCAAACTATCTTAAGATGTCACATGGGTTAACTATAGTGTTGGAGAAAGCAGGAGCTGTAATATTTGAAACAGATTAGAACAGCACATGGACCCCCAAGCCCAGATCCAGGGCAAACGTGACTGAAACTGCTTAAGAATCTGCACTTGGCTGATCAGAAGGGCAGTGTAGGAATTGGCTCTGAAAATGGAGCCTTAATGCATCATAAAGAATTTCCAAAGGAGGAAGTAGGATTGGCATGTGGGCATGAGAGGAAAGATTCCCTAGAAAGATGCTAGCAGAAATTTAAGTGCCTGTTACCAACTGCAGGTTCTTAGGCTCTCATGTAATAGAAGTGGACACGGGAACAAACAGCTTCCCAGAGGAGATTTTATTGGGGGCTTGTACAAGGGAGACAGCGCAAAAGGAAGAGTCTTCTCACTGGCTCCCTGAAGGGGGCTATCCCAGGCCTTTTATTAATAAGGGAAGGGGTGTAACATCAAACAAAATGTATGTTAGCCTGATCAGGAAGGGGTTCTGACTACACAAGCATAGTGTATGTACAAAAAAGGCTTCATATGTACAGAAAATGGAGGTAAGCCTTACCTGGGGTGGGGATTATAGTGAAGCAAGCATTATAGTCAGACACCCTCTGGTCCTTGTACATATATGGGAGAGGGACAGATAGGGGACTATCGTCCCAAGCCAGATTTATGGTAAAACATCGCTTATCTTAATGGGTGCTTTCAATGTTGTGGTGTGTATAATGGCTCCAGCTGGAATGTTGCTGCAAAATCTGGTGGTTTAAGTACATGAGGGAGGCCAAGTTCTATTGCTACTCTGTCTCATGCCCACGTATCAAAGGATGTTCCTACATCCAGACCCTTGTGCCAACAAACAAGCCTGCCTGAGAACAAGAGGGCTGCAAACCAGAAAATGACCTAAATAGCACAATACCTGAAGTTTCCACCAAACCCAGCATACAAGAAGGCCAGCTGTCAATTCAGGGAGCAAAACTTCCAGACCCTCAGTCCAGGAGGCTTGGTGTGGACAATTCACATGCCCCTGAAGGGTGCGTCAAAGACCCTTTAAAAAAGCCACAGAAAAGGCTAGGGCTGGCTGACCCTAGAGTACCTGGAGCATTAAGTGTACTACAAGGACAAATGTGAGGGCAGTGATCTGGGAAGAACCAGTTCACAGACATGGGAGTCTGTCTCCGTTGGCCATTTGCCTTGAGTGTTTCTGAGACTCCGTGTTGCAAATAAGAGTCATTGTTTTGTCAAACTTATGATGTGCTATAGACAAGTTAAAGACACAAAGTGACCCAAGGCTGCAATGTGGCCTCCTCCTGAAAGCAGGAGTCCCCAGAGGTGAGGTCGGGCCACAGCCATTCCTTGAAGATGCCCTCTTTAATATCTCCCTCTTACAACATGGAACCAGTGGCACTGGCTCCTACCTCACCCCAGAAGGCAGAGGGCTTGGATTTTCTAAGATGACAGGGGTAGGTCATTAGGCAACACATTTACTAAGCTGGTCAATTTGAACTGGGAGAGGGAAGTGAAGGAGAAACTGTAGAAACACTGGCCTAGTTCCATTTGCTCCGCATTCCCACCCCCAAGTTAAATGATGCCAGGACCCCTTAAAGTAGAGACATGAAGTATCTGTCAACTAAAAGTAGAACTACCATTCCATCCACCACTCCCATCACTGGGGATCTACCCAAAGGAAATGAAATCATTTTATCAAAAAGATACCTGCATTCATTTGTATGCTTAACACAGCACTATTTACAATAACAAAAACATGGAATCAACCTAGGTGTCCAACAATAGATGACTGAACAAAGAAAATATACACCATGGAATACTATTTGGCCATACAAAGAATGAAATCATGTCTTTTGTAGCAACGTGGATGGAACTGGAAGTCATTATCTGAAGTGCAACATGCCAGGTACAGAGAATCAAATATCAAATGTTCTCACTCACACATATTCATCACACATCTCACTCATGTTGCAATAAAATAGGCAACACCCTCAAACTGTGACATCTAGGAGAACAACTGAGGGGAGCTTCTGTTTCCAAGACTGACACAGATGGCACAGTGGCAATACATAGATTCTTTTTTTTTTAGTTGGAGTCTCACTCTGTCACCCAGGCTGGAGTGCAGTGACATGTTCACAGCCACTGCAGCCTTGACCTGCTGGGCTCAGGTGTTCCTTCTGTCTCAGCCTTCCAAGTAGCTGGAACTACAGACACATGCCACTATGCCTGGCTAATTTTTTCATTTACTGTAGAGACGAAGTCTCACCAAGTTGCCTAGGCTGGTCTCGAACCCTTGAACTCAAGCAACCTTCTTGCCTTGGCCTCCCAAAGTGCTGGGATTACAAGCTTGAGCCACTGCGCCCGGCCAATATATAGATTCTAAAAAAATGTGTTTGCATGCACTTAAAGAGTGAAAGGATGGCCAGAAGGGTGAGGTGGTGGAGAGGATCAGTGATGAGAAATTACCCAGTGGGTACAATGTATATTATTTGGGTGATAGATTCCCTAAAAGCCCTGACTTGATACTATGCATGTGACAAAAGTGCACAAGTACCTCATACATTTATACAGATGAAAAAATAATACATAGATAAGAATGTTACATGCAGTGGCCTCTCCATAGTTGGTATTACCTCTGTGAAGTGCTGTCAACTTCCTCCCTTGATCACTATCAAATTTTAGCACATTTTGGAAACTGCTTTCAGGTAGTTGGGTGGGAGCAAGGAGTGTAAACTCAGAAGCCATGATCTGGGAAGGGTCCAGCCCCCTCCTTACCCCAGTAGTGAACAGGAGGTGACCTGCTGTACACATCCATTTCAAAGGTCTGTGACACATTTGGCAAAGAAGAGGATTTGTAATTGTGTTCTGAAATCGTATGTCAATCCAAGAGGATATAGGGCTAGGGTCATTTGAGCTTTTACAAAAAGGGTTGGGTATGGGAGTTATAAAGTGATTATGGATTCTGAAATTCACTTACTCACTACCTTATTGCTACGACAGTAGCCTGAATGTATCAGATGAACTGTTGCCCTCAGACTAAATGAATGGGCATTAAAACTGCACACACACACACACACACACACACACACACACACACACACACCACTCATTCACACATGTGCACACACATACTATCATTGCCACCTTTGCATCAATGACACCAAAATGAAATTTAGCAGATTTTAGGGGTTTTCTTTATTTGAAGAAATTGTATGTTAAACCATTGAAAAGGATAAAAAGATGGTTAAGAAAACCCTGGATTTCAAGAACGATGAAGGCGAATTTTCTTTGTTTCGGAATCCAGCAAGCAGATGGTTTCTCTGAAGGAGCCTGTCAGTAATGGCAGTCTGGAAAGGTAAGTACAAGATGGTTGGTAGGATCACCACAAAAATGAGGGATCCTGGGTAAGAAGCTGGGCGGGCTCAGGTGGTAACAGGTCACTTCACCCAAGAGCTTCCTACTGAAGGGGCCCTCCTCCTAGGGTGGTTTCACAGAGACGAAATCCCCCCATGCCAGGCTGAGTATCCAATGTGGAATTCATTCTTCCCCAAATAACTGGAAAGTTTCCAAGTGAACCTTTAGGTCAAGTTAACCAAAATCACTCAGAAAATCCTGACAGTTAAAAGTTTTGCTGTTTGGAGTACTTTGATGCCGTAAAAAAGAAGAAAACAAAAGTATCCTTCAAAGACCAGAGTGCTCTCCCTTCCCATTTTTGGGGATATGCTTGGTCTTGTTTTTATCTTGCCAAACTCCATGTCAGGAACTCATAACAAAGGGGTATGGGAAGGCAGACAAATTCATATCTGAAGACAGGACCCTCTTGGGACTGCAGGACATTGTAAGTGATGTTTGTCACTCAAGGTCCCATGAAAGAGGAAGATACAGCCCACAGCAGGTGGGGGAGGTCTGCTTTATTCAGGCCCCTCCCTGGTGCCCAGCACAGCACATGGCACTTAGTAGCATCCAAATGACATGGATCAAATTGCAATAAAATAGGCAACACCCCCAAACTGTGACACCTAGAGCAGCTGGGGGGATGCTGTTGTTTCTAGGACTGTCATAGACAGCACAGTGGCAATGGTGGAGGTTCTGTACTTATTGAAAAGATGCTGCCTGTGTTCAGAACATTCTAGAATTGCCTTCAGAATCTCACTGGGTCCCACAATTCTGGCCTCAGAGGGTGTTGAGGCCTCTGGGCAACTCCTGCCCCTGATCTCCCCTTCCCACCTACAGAAGAGAAATGGCAGCCCCACCACGGCATTACCTTCCACGGACTGTGGGAAGAAGCACCAGGGCACCTGGAAGACAAGGTTGGAGAAGCAGCAATTGCGAGCGGCGCAGTCCTCTGGGCTGATGTCTGGGTAGCCACAGTTGTTGCGGGCCGAGACCTCCATGACGCACTGCTCCGACTCTGCTCACGGGAGGGCGCGACAATTAGACCAGCAGCTTACTGGAAATCTCCATTTCTTCCTCTGACTCCCCACATCCCCCCAAACATGGCTGGATTTACAGCCTTCATGTATCTCAAGGAGATGCCTGGGACTGCATCCCTTGGGGACCGTCGTGCCTAGGGACTGTATGTCACCCAATGATTGACTGACCTGTCCTCCCTAATGATGGGGTGTGGTCATGAGTCAGAAGGTCTAGGATACCACGGCCTTGGGGAAATCATCTTTCCTGTCTGGACTAAGTGTTCTCTGTAAATGGGAGTGTCCCACTATGCCAAGGTGACAAAGGTTTGTGGGAACCTTTTAAGGATACAAAGCTTTTGGTCAAAGTACCGATACCAGGCTTCACTAACAACTAACTGTCTGTCTGGTTTCCCTGCCTTTCTTGTGATCTGTGCCGATTCTGTGCACACAGGTGTGCTTTGCACAGGCAACTTTCTCAGCACACCTTGGCACTGAGACTTTGTAACTCGATCATATGCATGAACAGAAAGTTTGTTCCTGAAAGAATCCTAGAAGTCCTAACTTGCTTCCTTACCGTTTGGGTCTGTTAGCCATTATGTTGCTGGTGTCCTATTAAGTATTTCCATTTCCTTCCACATAAAATTTTAAAACTACAAGAGACCTAAGAAATATTTTCTCTCAAATAAAGAAAAACTGACGTGTTCACATGTATGTCTGCCAATGAGCAAATGGGGCATTTTCGTCTGCCCCATCCATTTCATAATCAACTGGGAGAAAATGTAACAAATGGTGAATTTAGGTAAAGGGTATATGAGACTAGTTCCTGGACTAACCAGACTAACCAGACAGTTCCCAACTAGCTTTAGACTAAGCAACCAGAGCTAGCCCCAGACTTACTGACCCAAGCTAGCTCCAGACTAACTAATCCAAGCTTGCTCCAGGTTAACCAACCCAAACTTGCTCCAGTTTAGCTAACCCGGGCTAGCTCCAGACTAACTGTCCCTGGCTAGCTCCAGGCTAACTGACCAGGGCTAACTCCAGACTAACTGACCTGGGCTAGCTCCAAACTAATGGCTGGGCCTTCTCAAGCCCCTGCTCTTAACTCTGTCCATGAAGCCAAGTTCTGGGCTGCCAGTCATCAGGCCAGGAAAAGAGTCCGGCTTCCCCAAAAGATTTACCTTGCTTCGGGAGGGGGTAGAAACACCAGGGAACCCCAGCGACATTGGAGTCAAAGCAGCATCCACTCTCAAAGCACTGGTCGCTGGTGATGCCCGGGAAGCCACAGTTCTTCCTGTTTTGGGGGCTCAACCTAGAGCACTGGCAGGGGGCTGTGGAGAGACCCTCGTCAGCCCCATCAGGGTATACCAGACCATGCTGTCCCCCTGCTCACAGGTGATGACTTTGGGATGTCTCTATCACCCTATTTCCACATGGAGAAATGCAAAGTCTTATCTTGTCCGTACTGGAACTATGAAATTTCCTCCCGAGAAACTGACAAGGCTTTACTTAACTTGTTTTGTTGGTTAAAAAAAACCCAAAAAACTCTTCTGGAAGAAGGTGAGCCGATGGATCCAGGCCAACGTCAAGGTGACAGGTGAGTGCCCTGGGACTCTGGGGACCTTTGGAAGGGCTGTCCTCCTGACCCTGCACCCACCAGCACCTGCAGCCACCCTGCCTCTTCCCAGGGAGAAGGCCCATCTTGGAGACCTGACCCCCCTCCTGAGTAGCAGGAAATCCCGTTTGAATAGCATACACCAACGTCACCCATCTTAGGATGCCTTTTCAGTCACTTCCCCATTCAAGTTGACTTATGGTTCTGCCTTTACCTTTAAGGTAAACAACAAGAAAGTGCATACAGAGACCCACTGAGAGGGAGGGAGGCCCTGCAGGGAGCAGGGGGCTGCTTTGGGCCCTCTGCCCCGGGGCACCAGCAGGTTCCCAGCTCACTCCTGAATGCTCAGAGGCTGAACCTTGGAGGGTGACTTACGCCTTCACTGAACCTTGGAGGGTGACTTACAAGGTTTCTGGCCCCCCACCAGGGCACACAGCCCCAAGATGAGGAGCGCTGCCAGAAGCCAGGTGTCTCGAGGTCCCATGTCCAGCTCAGCTGCACCCCAGGGCGGCCTGCAAAATGTACTGCTCTCCCTGCCAGGGATGTTTTATAATCTCCCCTGTGTTTGCTCAACAAGCACAGATAACCTTCCCTCTGCCCCAAGGCCCCAACGCTTCAGACCCTTTGTTAGGAGAAGGGCTGAGATAGCCCCACAGCACAAGCCAGGAAGCCCATGGCAGCCGTGCCCTGCACAGGCGAGACTTCCGGGCTAGGGTGCCGTGCCCCTGCGTGGCGAGGCCTCCCCCTGCCCTGGTCAGGGAGTCAAGTCGTGCCAGGCTGCCAACGTGGAAACTGCTCATGTGCAGGCCTGGGGCTGGGCACACACAGGGTCACGCCCAAGAAGGGATAAGCCATGCACTTCTCCTGATAAAGTCTGTGACTACCACAGGAGTTTAGAAGATAGTGGGGCCAAGGTGACTGGGGAAAATGAACAGGCCAGAGGAAAGTTCAGAGAAGACCCCTCCCCTATGAATGGGAGCATCAAGGCAGAGGAGGGAGACTTCCCTCAGGGATGTGTCTAGAGCCCCTCCAGCCAGGACACAAAGGCCCCTTGTCCCATCTTTGGCGTGAGAGCTGTTCTCTGTGGCGATGGGGCTGACAGGCAGTGAGCAGCCTGGGATGGGCAGTTTTTAATAAGCTCTTATTTAGCCAACCCTGAAATTGGCCATTTTTCTTCCACAAGAACTTTCCACATTTCCTAAAAGATGGCACCTGGAACCCACCCTTCCAAGACTAAGATGCTCCTGAGAAGAAGTCTGTGTCCTGGAGACAGAACAGAAGCCAAAGGGCAGATAGAGAAAGAGAAGAAGACATGGTGGAAAAGACAGAGGGAGGCCTGAGACTCTTCACACCAGAGAAATGACAGGAGAAATGACAGTTACTAACCTGTGACTGATGGTGGAGCAGTCAGTGGCTCAAAACCCTTGGTCTAAGAGCATGTGCTGTCCTCAGGGCCCAGACAGCAGGCCTCTGTCCCCCTGGACTCCTGCTGAATCCAGCTAAAGGCCCTCCAGACTATTTACCCAAGGAGCTACCATGGGGACTCAATCTTTGAACACCCCCACCCACATCCCTGTTGTCCTTAGTCACCACCAAAACATAAGTGCCCGAGTCATCCATTCTCTCCTGTACTCCCAGTCCCACTCCCACTCTCCCCCCACTTACTCCCCCTTACCCGATTTTCCGTTGCCCATCCTAGCCCTCCCAGATTCCTGATAAGACCGCCAGCCCTGTGCTAGAGATCACACATCATCGCCCATCTGTCAGCTTCCCAGCCTCTCCTGGCCCCAGTGGAAGCCACGACTTCCCAGAGGTACTTCCTTCACATCTGTCTCAAGAACGGGGTCGGGTCCCCACCCATGGCACCAACTGCCCGCAGCACCCAGTGCTTTAGTGAAAATTAGAAAAAGGCAAAAAAAAGGGCACATTTTCTTCAAGACAAGTTGCTTCCACTTGTGAGGAAATCATTACACTAGACAGGCTGCCCGCAATATGAGTGGTACACTACTTGAAAGAGGAGCTGGGCTCACTGCACAACTTCTGCCACTGTATTTGGTGGCTGCGCTCCCATCACATGGGCTCAGGCTGGGGAGCTGGGCATTGACCTTGAGCCCCAAGCCTCCACTCTAGTGCAAAACCCATGCTCCCTGGGGATGTGGGTTGTGAACAGCACCACTTCCAGAGCCCCTGCCCTACTGCCATCAGCCGACCACCACACACCAGTCCCTTCTGTTAGGGACTTTAGCACTGAATTCCCTGTATTCCTTGTCACACCAAGACTTAGCCACATCCAGGGAGTCGTCACCACTCCCATGCACATTTCCTCCAAATTCAAAGTCATGCAGATGTTATTTCCTTTTCACTTCTGGGAACTTCCAAATCTCACTCCACTTTTTTTTCTTCTATTTTTTTTTAAAGGACTGGAAAGTGCCCACAGGTCTTGAACCACCCTCGAAAGGTGGTTTGCAGAAATTATGCTGTTGAAGGAATTGCTGAGCTAAAGCTGGCCCAACTCACTTTACTTTGAAAAATATTTTTTTTGAGACAGGGTCTTCTCTGACATCCAGGCTGGAGTTCAGTGGCACAATCATGCCTCATTGCAGCCTCAAATTCCTGGGCTCAAGTGATCCTCCCACCTAAGGCTCTTGAGTAGGTGGGACTACAGGTGTGACCACCATGTCTGGCCTCACTCCACTTTTGCCGCACTCTCCTGCACCTCTGAAAGATGGCATGCAAATATCCTTTTTGCTCAGGATGTCCTAAGCTCCTAGCATTTTCTGTTGCTTTCATTATGCCTTCCTCTAAATCCTAAGACCCTTTGTTCCCTAATCCTCTGAACTACCCCCAAGAGCCCATCCTGTCTACCCATCCTTTCTTTCCTTCACCAACCTGATTTCCATGCTCCATATGCCCACTCTCTTCCCCACAGGTTTCTTGCAACACCAAGGACACATCTTTTGCTCACTGTCTCTGTGCCTACACCATCTGCCAAACATGGTGTGTGCTATCCCTGGTTGCCACCATAAATTCATGATCAGACCTCTCCAGGATGGTGTCATTCTTCTCTGCACATCTTCTCCACTCCTTCTCACTTCCATTCAGTATGCTTTGAAAATAATCTTTTCTATCAGTTTGCATAGAAAAAAGGAGTCAACAAATGAGAACTCCCTCAAATATCACCCATGTGGATGTCTGCTTCTAACTGTGGAGTAACTGGTACCAGACTAGCCCTCCCACCATGAGTAACTCTAAAACTAGTTGGAATGACTGTCTATGGGTGTTGAGCAGTAGGTAGTGCCAGTCAGGGCTCTCTGAGAGAAGGGACGCCATGAGGTGAGCCCCATGGCCGCCCTGTTTTCTACCTGGAGATACTTTTCAGACTAGCACAGGGAAAGACAGCAAACAGCATAGCAGTCTCACTGGGCTGAGGACACAGAGACTGGATCTAGAAGTTCCTGAGGCAGATGAATTTTCTAGATAAGAAAACTCATGGGCTGGAAATCATAGAGTTCTGAGCAGCCAGAGGTGTTGACCACCTCAACCCTTCAGTAAAGACACAGAAAGGCATGTGGTAGGAGTAGGCTCTATCTTTCTAGAGTAAATATAATACAGACCCATTCTAGCAAAACTTTAAAACGAAAGAATCAAGCTAACCTGAAAGTAAATTAACGGCTTGATTTGGTTGCTAGGGCTGCTATCACAAAAATCTCACAAACAGCGTGGTTTAAACAACGCAAATTCATTCTCTCACAATTCTGAAGGATGGAAGTTCAAGATCAGGGTGTCAGCAGATGTCATTTCTTCTGAGGCCTCTCTCTTTGCTTGCAGATAGCTGTCTTTTCCCTGTGTCTTCACATGGTCTTTCTTCTGTGTGCACATCCCTAGTCTGTCTCTTCTTATAAGGACATGACTTGTATTGGATTAGGGCCACCCTAGCAGCTTCCTTTTAACTTAATTGCCCCTTTTAAGACCCTGTATTCAAATACAGTCACATTCCAAGGTACTGGAATTTGGGGTTTCAACATATTTATTTGATGGACAAAATTCAACCAATAACACTACCTGAGAGAACAAAGCTCAATGCTTTATAAAGGAAGACAAGACAACAAAATTCAGATATATGACATAACATCCATAATGTCTAAAACAAAATCAAAAGTCACTGGACATGTGGAGAAGCAGGAAAACATGACCCACAACTACTAGAAAAATCAGAAATGGCACAACATATTTAAAAAGTTAAAGAAAAGCAAAGTAATATAATAAAGGAACAAGAAAGGAATCTCAGTAGAGAAATTGAAACTAAAAATAAACCAAATGGAAATTCTAGAAAATAAAAACACAACATCTGAAATGAAAAATTTACTGTATGGGCTTTACATTAGATACTAAATATTAGATGCTGCAGAAGAAATGGTCAGTTTACCTGAATGAAGCCAGTGGAAACATACAGAAAAAAGGGGTTAAAAAATGACCTGTAGAACAATATCAAGCAGTCTAAAATACATATAATTTGTGTACCAGTAGGAGAAGAGAGAAACATTATTTGAAGACATTCAACAATACTTGAACAAGAATGAGTATTTGAAGAAATAATGTCAGATACTTTTGTGAACTTGATGAAAAGCATAAACCCACAATCCTAGGAGCTCTAAGAACTTCAAGGAAGATAAATAAAAGAAAAATCCTATCAAGGCACAGAGCAATCAAATTGTTGATAATCAGTGATTTTTTAAAATTCTCAGAGAACCTAGAGAAAAAGACTGGTATGGTTTGAATGTCTCCTCCAAGATTCATGTTAAAACCTAATTCCCATTGTGGGAGTATCACAAGGTGGGCCTTTAATAGGTGACTGGATCATGGGGCTCTGCCCTCATGAATGGATTAACCAACTCATGGATGCATGGATTAATGGATTAGTGGGTTAATGAATTATCACAGGAGAGGACTGGTGGCTCTATAAGAAGAGGAAAAGAGACCTGAGCTGGCACACTCAGCCCCTTCATCATATGATACCCTGGGCTGCCTCAGGACTCTTCAGAGAGTTCTCACCAGCAAGAAGACCATCACCAGGTGTAGCCCCTCAACCTGGCACTTTCCAGCTTCCAGAACTGTACAAAATATTTTTTAAATAAATTACCTAGTTTCTAGTATTCTGTTACAAGCCATAGAAAATGGACTAAGACACACAGCATAAAGGGGAATATAATAACAACTGACTTCCTATGTGAAACTATACAAACCAGAAGGCAATGGAATAACATATTTAAAGTGCTGAGGGAAAGTCAGAATTCTACACTTAAAAACATCCTTTGAAATAATTTTTCAGATGAACAAGAGCTTAGAGAAACTCTCATTTGCAAACTTGTTCTTCAAGGAACTTTAAAGAAAATGCTTCAGACTGTAGTATAGGGGCATCCCTTAACACAGGGCATAAATTTTCCAGGTTGCCTCAGTCAGTTCCCACCTGACTGGATTTGCTCAGTTATAGTAACTGTGTAGGCTCTGTCAGCATT